CTATAAATCTAGACGAGTGCCAAAGGCGGCACGAATTACAAGCACCTGAACACTGTATCAATTCGCACGAATTGTAGGACTTCAGCAACACCCTTCCCGCCCGAGCTTCTTTTTATCAATATACCACACTGCTTTTATGAGTGGACATAATTCACTGTTTCTGAACGTTTTTATATATTATCCAAGATTGCGACAAATATGATCACGACATTACTGCATAAATAAATCTTATTTAAACACCAATTAGAATTTTAAAGCTATAATTTAGATTGTTAATTTAGAAAGGATACTGTACAATGTAGGTCTATGCTAAACTGAAATGAATTTAAACAATGAAATCACTTTTGTGATGTTACAGAGTTTATGCCTGTTTATGAGTTTTCAATTCTTGTTTACAACCTGGCGACCGAAATCCCACTTGTCTATATCTCCATCACGAGAGTGACTCAAAATTTGGAAAAATATAGTGTAAACTGAAATAGGTTTATGGATCTTGCTATTGTCAGATTTCAATACAATCTTTGACGCAATGCATTGTCACAACTAACAAAATAAAACGGGTGCAACACAATTATTATTATTATTATTATTATTATTATTATTATTATTATTGCAAATATTGTTGCATTGTTTTATATTGTTCGATGTCTTTTTATTGTCAGTTTTGTTTGGCTAAATATCTCCCGCTGTTGCTGTCCATTGTATCGTAACTCCATGGGATCGTACAGTTTTGATATTTTGAAATTATGTCGACAGTGTCATTCGGACTTTTTGGCGTGTGAAAATTTACAAAAGGTCCCTCATCCCTCATCCTCAAAATATAAAAATTATATGTTTAAATCCCTCAGCTGAATTTTTCTTATATCGTGACTTCGTGACTTTTGTTTTTGGTTATTTTCTGTAATTAAAGTAGCTGTTGAAATAGCCCAATACAAAATGGTCTGAGTTCTTAGGGGGAAGCCCAAGGAATTGAGGATATGCTTAAACGGCCCTCTATCCTTTGTTAAAGGTTACCAGTCAAACGATTAGCATGGATGCATTTCGTTGTTGGTGGAAAATTTGACAGCGGGTTATTTACTGTAATAGCACACTCCTTGGTCATGTTCACTCGATACGTCATTTAGGTCGGCTCAGAACCGTGCTACCACTAGAATTCACACAAAGTACTTAGGTTTGTGTCGACATTTTCTAAATGAAATTTATTTCTAGTGGAGAATTTTCCACGGGCAACGCTGATTAATATTATAGCTGTTTCCGTGTCCTTGAGCCACGGAGTGCTGCTGTCATCTAACCCTGCGACACAGAGAAGATCGAGACGATTTCTCTTAAGGACATATGTACGGAGCCCATTGCCTCTAGTCTGATTGTATTACAGCAGGATAAGCCGTACAGACACATGATGATATATAAATGATTGTAGTGGATAACTGAAACTTCATTGTTGAGAACGAATCAACAAAGACCCCATTCCCACAGATTTTAGATCCCCGTGGGGAGTCTCACTAGATTACTGTCAGCTTAGCCGGCTTAAATGTCTGTCCCGCCTACTAAAAGCTGTAAGGGGGAAATTAACTTCCGTGCGCGGTCCGCCGACAGCAATTTAGCGTGAACCCCCAGGGAGTTAGGTCGATCTAGTTGGATCGATCTAAATCTCTGGGAATGCACTCACAGTTAACGCCATGTGAAGTTAACACATAGTACCTCGAATGATGGGAATTGTGGGAAGCGTAAATTGGACACTACTCCTTCACGAATCACATTCGTCACATTGTATCGGCCTCTACAACCAGGAAGTAATTTCACTTTATTTACATGAATTCAGGCGCAGTGCGCAGAAATATTACTTAAACGAGAGGACGGCAACCAAAATTTTGATCGTGCTAAAATACTCAAAGACAGATTTGACTTCAGTGTTGAAGTCTTACGTAACGACTTACAAAAGTCAACCGATTTAAAGCATCTTGACATAACCTGAATTTACGGATCTTAGTGCGCCATTTTTCAGCTTTTCTATAGGGCAAATTAATACTGCGCAAAACAGCTGGACATTTTGTCGCATTATAAAACAAGGCAAAGGCTCGAATAATATCAAGGTGTTCTCGTTAGCAGAAGTCAAAAGACGACGGAATTGGGTACTTTGAATCTCCTACGACGTGGAACATGCCAAAAAGGAAAGGAAATCAAATGAAGAACAGACCAAATAACAGACTAATGTCACAGTAGGCTGGGACCAGACACTGTTTATCTCGAGCAAAACTCACAAAACATAAACAAGATCTGACTTGCATCCTGATATATTGTTTCAACGCGTGCCATATCGACCCTGATATAATGAATTCCTTGAAGAAATTTGGGGTTTTGTTGTTGGTATATTTATTATCATCTTCAGGTAAGATGGCTTAATTTGTTAACATACATTTTTTATACAGTGACGAAGTTTCATACACCTGTATACATGTATCGAATGTGTAACTGACGTTTTTTTTCCGAAGTGCACAGAGTCGCGAGAAAATATTTGTATAATTACTGCACGGTTTCTAGACTGAAAATCGGAATAGTGCCACAGACTGATAATAGAGAGGTTTCGAAAAGAAAAGTCATTTATCCAGATCTCATGAAAGGGATTCTTTATATAGAACGCCTGTATCCCTTTTAACAAGCAAGCGACGCAAGTGGAAAGTAGCGTTTTATCGATACATATAAGGTACCCCACGTTCACACCCAGTCTCTAAAGCCCATAGCGCCATGATTAATATTTTGTCGTTATATTCTCTCATTTTTTTATGGGGGGGGGGAGGGGGCAAGATGATAACCTTTCATCAACATTGCCTAATACAACTGTTATTGTTAAAAATTAAATATCCCCTCCCTCGAATGTTTACCGGGAAGTAACAAAGTTAAGAAAGGAGAAAATAGCTACCGTCTAAGTTCCTGCGTCTTTTGCGTGGTCTAATAATCTTCTACTTTAATTTAGTCTGAGTAGTTTTGAGTATTTATCATTCATTACTACGCAATTGTTTTTTTTTTAAGCATTCAGAAAGCGTATAGAATTGACCAGTTAACTGTAATCCCATGTATTGTGACGTTTTCCACTCCGTTCCAATACATAAAAACAATCCTTTTTCTAGTGGACTCTTAACAAAGCTATGCCTATACACTTATTCCCTTCTTAACTGTTATCCAATTAATCTACATGCATTCTGCTAATTTGCGATTAACGTTACCATTTAACGTTACCAGAAACACCATTTCTTCAAAAGACTTAATTCACCTTCAAATTTGAAAACGTGGCAAGAAACGTATCAATCTATTAAACTACATGAGATAATATTTCTCTGTTAAGAATTTCCTTAGTACTGAACAATGGATTTTGTCAGACTGCCAACCTGGATCATACGAAGTAGCATAACATAAGAATAATAGTGGGTTAAAAAACATAAATTTTGTCGCCTCTGGAATCAATAGCCTTTACTTCCTTGGTTTATGATCGACTTAACACTATTCAGCGGTCTCCTGGTATGAGAAAACGATAACAATAGGGTTGTGAAAAGGTTCATTCAGGTGAACTTAAAGATACCATTTGAAGTTCAAAATGTATGAAATTACCCCCCCCCCCCCCCGTTTTTTTTTTAATGTAGAGTTGTGAGGCCAGGGTATGAAGAGGTGATTGCAATTGGGCTTTTTATGCAAAAAAACAGTTAAATGACATAGAATAGAAAAGTTAGAGAAAAAAATTTGATACCGACACTTTTCTGTGTTTACTTCCTGAAATGCATCCTTGATCACAGTACACTCCAACTATTTTGAAGTGATTTTTTTTAAACATGACCCAGATAAATCGTCGCGTGAGCTCGAGCATATTATTTACCCCTCTATTAAATAGTCCAACCATTGTTCACATCTTAATCATGACAGTGACACTTTTATTTAGGGCAGTTACAGGTATTACGGTCATTACTCGATCATTTCAACCGCGAAATTATAGATTTTACAGCCACTGTATTTCTTACAGTAATAATTTCTTAAAAATAGAATATTCATTTTGAGTGGTACCAATACAATTACAATGCAGACTACCTAATAGTTCTATTCTTTACAATTAAAGCTCCAAAATGATATACAGAGTGTATTTTTAAAGATCCCAAAATTATAGTAAATCTATAATTTTCCCCCGTTGAAATGATCGAGCCTTTACCCTAACCCAAAACTCTCTCTGACAAAAGAAATACCCGTATACCTCTTCACCTTTGTTTGCTGGGTCATGTCACAGACTAAGCCGTTCCAAAACTGAAATACCTGTGCGATTGTGTTAAAAAATATTGGTACTAGCTGAAGGATATGGGGGTATCGCCTACTCACTGTGAGGAACAGTCACATTTTCTACGTTACCTTATTTTTGTTACGACAATGAACGGTTTTGTTACGACAATGATGTTTAAAGACTTGATTTAATTTTTACAATAATTTCATAGGATAAAAGGGAAACCTGCTTCACTGAGTAGTCCCTAAAAAAACTGCATACGCTGTGTGGCCATGAAATACATGCACTTCAAAATGAACTAACCTTTTTTTTTTTCGTTTTGTGAGTCTATTGTTTTTTTTTTTTTTTTTTTTTTTTTTTGAAAA